CCTGGCTGGGTGGTTTTGGTCTGGCAGGTTCCCTGGTGTCGCCCCAGCCGACCTGGGTCTCCAGATCTGGGTCAATGGGTCATGCTGACCTGCAGGCCATTCTTGGGGTATTCAGAAGCGCCCCTGTAAGAACAGGCTGCAGACAGCCACGGGCTCAAAGCCAGCTGGGCCTGGGGCTTCCGGCGGGGGGAAGCAGCAGCCTTGTACTTGTTGGTTGTGCTCCTGGCCAGGGGTGGGATGGGAGGTTCAAGGATTCAGGATGTGCCAGGGCTGCTGTGCTTGGCCTCAGCCAGGACAGGCACTTTGTGGGGAGCAGGGGACCAGGAGATGGCATTCTGGGCCCTGTGGGTTGATGTGGGCATTCAGGCGCCATCTGGCTTTACTTCTGACATGGTGGGAACAGAGCTGGGCTGTGGCCGAGCGGTGCCCTGGTACGGGACACGGGCATTGTGAGGCCCAGGCCCATCGCCCTCTCCCACTCGAAGTCCCACGTGAGTGGTACAGGACACGGGCCCATCACCCTGTCTGCTCTAAGTCCCACGCCAGTATCGCTGCTCTGAATTTCCTACATCCCACCTGCCCAGACAGGCCACGCTTGGCACCAGGTGTCGTTGATGCTGGCATCCTCCTGAAGGGCACACTGGGACTGTGTCTGCCCTCTGTGGCCCCTCATCCCCAGCACCCTGAGAATAGCACTTCCGGAAGCATCCCTGCTCCCACTGGGGCCATGCTCCCTCAGATCAGAGGGTGCTGTTTACAGGGGCCTGGGAGGGGGGTGAAGGGACGCTCCTATGTGCCCCTGTTGCCTCCCGGTCACGCTGCAAGCTACTGGCCTTCGCCTGCCGGTCTGATGGGGGCCGTGGCCTTTTATTGTTTTAGATTTATTTATTTTGATTGGAAAGACAGATTTATAGAGAAGGGGAGACAGAGAAATCTTCCATCTGCTGGTTTACCGCCAAAGTGGCCGCAACATCTAGAATTGAGCTGATCCGAAGCCAGGAGCCAGGAGTCTCTTCCAGGTCTCCCACGCGGGTGCAGGGTCCCAAGGCTTCTGGCCGTCCTCCGCTGCTTTCCCAGGCCACAGGCAGGGAACTGGACGGGAAGTGGGGCTGCTGGGATTAGAACCAGCGCTTGCAAGGCAATGGAGGTGTTGTCTGGACCAGAGGCTGTTGTTTTGTCAGCTGTCCTGTGCTGGAGCCCGTCCGCCCCTGCCCGCCTCCCCAGTGTCACCCCTCTGATGCCCGCTGCCCTCACCCCCGCACCAGGGACATCAGCACACTTCAGTGGTATTTATTTATTTCTTCTCAGTTCCCCAGGCGTCTCTGGTTTTATTTCTGATGTGTTGTTCCACAGACTTCCGAAAAGTCTCTGCCAAATTTGTCCTTTGCCCTGAGGTTCTCTCACCTTCCGGTTATCAAACTGGCCCATTCCCTCCTCCTCGGAAGGTGAGCTGGAGCTCTGGGGGTTGGGGGGAGTCTTCCACCTGTCCCCACCCTCTCCCTGGGTCACAGGCGTGTCGCGGCACTGCCCCTGGGCCTCAGTCTCCATTCCTGGGAAGTGGGTTACACCGATAGTGCCTGCTGGATGGAGTGGTTAGGCTGGTCCGACAGGCTCCGCCCCCTGCGTGGGCGGCTGACCAGGCCCTGTTCCTCAGGGGTTGCTGGACCAAGGGGAGGGTGGGCAAGGGGCTTCCCAGAGGAGGGGGTGGTCTGCTTCTAGTTCCCCCAGGCATAGCCTTTCCGCTCCCCTCAGCACCAGACCCGGGAACTCCCAGCAGACCGTACAGATAAGCAGACAGGTCGTTAACCATCATGGCTGTAATAGTACTTAATGTGGGACCTCAGCATCTTCCAGACTCAGGTGAAGAACCAGCTGGGCTGGCCTGCCGGCTGGGCGGGACACTTGCCTGGGGGTCCCTGGTTGCTAATTTGTCCCTTAGTCCTGGAGCTGGAGGCTGGGGGTGGGAGCTAACTGGCTTGCACATCCCAGACCTGTGCAGTGCCTTCCTGCAGCTTCCAGGGCCCATTCCTTCCTGTGCGCGAGGGTGTGCGTGCGTGTGTGTGTGTGTGTGTGTGTGTGTGTGTGTGTGTGTGTGGAGGGTTGCAGTCAAGTGCGCTTGCCCGGGTTGGCTCCCTTTGGTCCAAGCACGCCTCTCTTCCTGTAGCAGAAGCCCGCAAGGGATATACCTTCCCACTGATTACAATGTTGCCAAGTCGGCAGGTGGGTTAGAGACCTCCCCGGCCCTCACCTCCGGCAGCTGCGCGCCAGCCCCGGCGGCGCCTGGCTGACCTCAGCCCGCCCGTGTGTCTGCCGTCTGTAAATGCCTGGACCAGCGGGGAGGGGCCCTTGGCTTTGGAACACCCTCCGTCCTGTTCCCCAGCCTCCCGTGGCCCTGCACGCGCACCCGTCCAGAGCATGCGCCGTGGGGCTAGAGATGGCCACGCTGACGCCAGGTCCCCACCGTGCGCGCCGGCGCCACTGCCTGGCATTTGGGTCTAACCGGAAGCCGGCAGGCAGTGGGGGGACCCCGGGGTGGGGGGTGTCAAACGAGGAGTAGGGCGCCTCTGGCTCAGCTCCGGTGCAGATTGCCAAGTGGTCGTGGGAGAGGCTTTGCTCTCTGCGCGCGTCCTTCGGCCTCTCCGCGGAGGAAGGGCAGCCGCTTCTTGCTGTGTCCCGTGGTGCGTCACGGGCCGCCCCCATCATCAATCAGCCCGCACGGTCGGGTCAGCATTATTCAGGGAGGTCAGCATTATTCAACCTTCTTCTGGAAGGTGCAGCCAGGAGAAGATGCCACCTCATGCCGGCAGCTCTCCTCCCTGCTCGTGACCCCCCTCGGGACCGCCCCTTCTCCAGGGAGCCCCGGGTTTGTCCCATGGAGAGATCGGGGTGTCCCTGGCGTTAGGGGGGGGGTGTTCCTGCTACCACTGGGATCCTCAGGGACAGAGCCGGGAGATGGACATGCATGCGTGCTGTGGACGCCTGCCCGTTCCCGTCCGTCTGAGTATCCAGAACCGAGCTGGTGTCCGAGCAGGATGCAAGTCCCGCAAACAGCCAGCTCCTAATCCTTAGAAAACTTTTAAAAATACAGCTTTGGGATGACACACGTTCCAGATTCGAAAAACAAACATTGCATCAACAGGCAACCGGCCTGTCCCCACCACCAGGGAAGGGAGTTAGCAGACAAGGCAAGGAGGGTGTGGATGCCAGGACCCCCTCCCTGAGCGTGGGGCTGGGTGACTGGAGCTGTGACGAGTGGGGACGGGGGTTGGACATACTCCGGGACCCACGAGCGGGTGCATGAATGGGTGGGCAAACCGTTGGACAAGCGGGTGCCTGGACGGGTGGGCAAGTGCGCGGGTGGATTAGCGGGTAGGTCGATGGGTCGCACGGGGCGTGGGCGCCCTCCAGTGGTCCATCTGCAGATCGCCGCTTGTCCAGCCGAGGCCTGCAGAGGCCGGTCCTTCCTCCGCCTGGCCAGCAGGAGCGCACCGCTTCCCCGCCCCAGGTCCTCCTCCTCAATGAGGGGGTCTGTGTTTTGCGTGTATCTTTTCTCATCATGTTCTCTGATGTGGTGGCCCCACCGTCTAGGTGGCCCTTTGCTGTCCTGGGTGGCTTTGGTAGCCCGCCTTGGGCCTGGACGTGAAAGAAAACAGCGATCCGGCTGGTGCAATTTCCAAGTGAGGCGCCCCCCCTCCCCTCCTTGCCCGTCCAATCCCGACGTGGTGGGCCTCGCTGGGGTCTGGGTCCTGCTGTTGTCTGCCTCCCCAACCCAGACGTTGCAGCTCCCCTGGCTGGGTTTAAGCAGGGGCTCCCCTTTCTTGGCATGCCAGAGTTGATGCAATGTTTGTTCTCAGCTGACCTGATCTTTTTTCCTTATCAAAAATAAATAAATAAATAAAACTATTTATTGGCCCTGGCATGATGGCTTAGTGGCTGAATCCTCACCTTGCAAGTGCCAGGATCCCATATGGGCTCTGGTTTGTATCCTAGCTGCTCCATTTCCCATCCAGCTCCCTGCCTGTGGCCTAGGAAAGCAGTGGAGGACGGCTCAAAGCCTTGGGACCCTGTACCCGTGTGGGAGACCTGGAAGAGGCTCCTGGCTCCTGGCTTTGGATTGGCTCAGCTCCGGCCATTGCGGCCACTTGGGGAGTGAAGCAGCGGATGGAAGATCTTTGTCTGTTTCTCCTTTTCTCTCTAAATGTGACTTTCCAATGAAAAAAAAAATCTTAAAAATGTAAAGTTTATCTATTTTAAAAAAAGATGTACTTTTGGTATTGGAAAGGCAGATTTCCAGAGAGAAGGTGAGACAGAGACCTGGCATTCACTGGTTCACTCCCCGGGAACCAGGAGCTCTGAGCCTCCTCGGGGTCTCCCGTGCAGGTGCAGGGTCCCAAGGCCCTGGGCCGTCCTCCGCTGCAGCCCCCCGCCCCGCCGTCTGTTCATGTGCTCTCTGCGTGTTACCAGGGCTGGGCGCCGTTCCGCACCCCCAGCCCAGCTCCTTGGAGCAGCGCGGCAGGGGTGCCTCTCAGAGGCAGAGGCCCACGCCTCAGCATCTTAAGGCTTCCAGTGTGGTTGTAGAGATTGCTGCTGGGGAGCTGAGCTTGCAGTGGGCAGACATTGGAGGTCAGGGTGCTGGCCCGAGCTGGAGGGGAGTGGGGGGTGGGCTGCTCGCAGGTACTGGAAGGGTAGCTGAGAATCCACATGCGCGCAGGGGCCTGCCGGGCCAAGCTGCCGCCTGCAGCGCCGACCTCCTGCTTCTGACAGCTGCCCCGCCAACACAGCCTGGGATGTGGCGGCTCTCTCTCTCTCTCTCTCTCTTGCTTTCGGTTACTCTCCTTTCAGATAAGCAAGGAGAGTGTTCGGCCACCTTGGGTAACAGCTTTCCCGTGTTTCTTACAGGTAGCGAGACGCCGCCAGCAGCAGGAGCCTCCGCCGGGCTCCGGGGCAGCCCTCCTCCAGCAGCAGGAGCCTCCGTCGGGCTCCGGGGCAGCCCTCCTCCAGCAGCAGGAGCCTCCGTCGGGCTCCGGGGCAGCCCTCCTCCAGCAGCAGCCTCTGCTCTCCGGGACGTGGCCAGGGCTTCGCAGTAAGTACAACGGGCCCCGATCAGAGAGGGCGCTGACCTCAGGGTCGGGTTGTCCTTAGCCAGGGAGGCCTGGGCTGCTGTGTTGGCTGCATGTGCGTGCCAGCGACCGGTAACTCCCTCGTGGGTTAAGCCGTACACTGCCCTGCCCGTGGACACCTCTCCTAGGCTCCCCTCCACTCCCGTGCAGGAAGTAGGGAGACCTGTGTTGGGGCGAGGTGCAGCAGCGGGGCGGGGGGAACCTCTGAGGATGGGGGGCTGCCGGGGACACGCTGTTTCTAGTCAGTGACCGGGACAGGGAGGAGTTGTGTGTGTTGTTCCCTCCAGCTTGGGTGCACCTGCTGGGTGCGGGGTGCTTGTGTGTGTGTGTGTGTGTGTGTGTGTGTGTGTGCGTGTGTGTGTGTGGGCAGGGCAACTTGTAGAGGTGGTGCACCCCAGAGCTCCGGCCTGCTATTGGCCTCTAGGAGATGCCCTGGACAGACATGCCGTTCACTAGCCCCGTGGCCACCTGCCACGCCACAGACAGCTCAGTGGGAGGCTGCGAGGAATGCTCCTGAGAGAGGAAGAAGTGACGTCACTTCTGGCTTCCTTGCCAGTGGCGGCCTGGGGCAGGACTGCGAGTGACCCGTGGGGCGGGCACACTCACCCTCCCAGAGTCCGGAGCTGCTGGCCTCAGGGCACCGCCAGCTCTGTGGCAGAGGGAGGAAGGTGCCTGCCCGTGGCCACAGAGTTCCGTGGGCAGGAATGGGGGTGGGGGTCCTGGAAGCGCAGGCGGGAGCCTCTACAAAGCCTTGCTGGGTGTGCTGGGGTCCCCGGCAGGTGTGTGTGTGTGTGTGTGTGTGTGTGTGTGTGTGTGTGTGTGTTCGAATTATTGGCCCACCCGATCACCGGGCTGTCTGGCCTTGTTTCTTTGTTGAAAAGATCAGATTCAGAGGCAGGAAGGTGTGCCATCCACTAACGCGCTCTCCGAATGTGTGCCACGGCCAGGGCTGCGCCTAACGGCCCGGAGCCTGGGGCCGCATCCAGGTCTCCCAGGGAGTGCCTCCAAGGCAGGGGAGTGGAGGATCCGGGGAGCCTGCCCAGCCATTGCGCCACCTGCCTGCTGTCCCCCGTGGGCGGGCTAAGTGCACCTGCTCGCCAGGCGCAGGCGCACACCTGCCTGGGAGGTGTGTGGAGTTCCCTGGTCTATGAAGGCCACGTTGGGGACTTCTGCCCAGGGTTCATGGCTGCTGGCACAGGAGGGCCCCGGGCTCTGCCCTCGCCTGTTACCTGCTGGCCTTGGGCAGTGGGCAGGCGTGTGCCAGAGGCCAGCTATTCATGGCTCCTCCCAGTGTAGGCGGCCAGGTGGAGTGGGAGGCCCCGGCCTCAGAGCCCGAGGGTCAGAGCTGGGTAGCGGGCGAAGCTTTCTCTTGGGACTCCCAGGGAGGGGTGGGTGGGGCCTGGGGCTTGTCACTCACCTGTGGGACAGGCCACAGCACATTCCTGGCTGTCTGAGATCTACGTTCATGCAGCTGGATGACACAGCAGCCCAGAGCGAGCCCTGAGCTGGGAGCAGGGAAGTGTGGGGGTCTCCCTAGGTCCAGGAGGCCATGGGTGGCAGTGAGCACAGGTCCCGGCTATGGCCTGGGTGACGGTGCTGGGTAGTGGTCTGGCTGACCCTGGGAACTGAGGGCTTGGTCAGGGCTCTGGCAGTGGTGGCTTCCTGGGAGAAGAGGGGGTATTTGGGACCACCCTTCTGTGAGATGATCACCTGTCCCAGATTCCAGAAACTGGTCAGTCCCCCACGGGTGTAGTCACCCACTGTCCTTGGCACACGCAGCCTCTATGGGTGCCCCAGGCCTGGGCCTTGTACGTGGGTTCTGGCCATGAGCTTCTGTGCTTCCTGGGGGCTCCTCCTATACCATCAGCTCAGCTGTCCCAGCACCTGCCCCGGGTGCCCCAGTGGGAGGTGGGGTGCTTAAGGGTGGACAGGTGGACAGAGGGCCGAAGAACCAAAGTGGCATGTCTCTAGGTGCCTTGTCGCTGGAGAAGGGGGCCCTGCTGGAGGGGGGCCCGGCTGGAGGAGGGGGGCCCGGCTGGAGGAGAAGTAGGTGCCCCAGGTGGAAGAGGGGGGCCTGGGTAGAGGAGGGATGACCCTACTGGAGAAGCCGGCCTGCCCTGATTCCTGGGTAGTGCTGCCCTCTGGTGCCCGCAGCGGCGAGTGTTTGTTGACTGTGGGATGGGGCAATGAGACAGAGTGCCTCCTGCAGGCTGGCCTAGGAAGGGGCCGCTGGTGCCCGATGGTGCCAGTCGCGTGAAGTTGTAGGGGGACCATGATCCCCGACTTCCTGCCGTGGCTTGTCCAGCCCTGGACGCCGCTGCTGACAGGAGTGGACCGGGATGGCCAGTCACAGACTGTTGCCCGGGGTCCGGGCTCTACTCCCTGCAGGTAGACCAATACCTGAGCCCCCACCCGCTGCAGGCCAGAGACACGGGACCGGCTCGAGGCTGCTGCCAGCGACCGTCCCCAGGCGAGGAAAGCTTGTATTTCTGAGGTCCCTGCTGGCTTCTGCCGGTGTCGCCGGCTCTGGGAAGTAGGCCACCTCTGTTTTTGATTTAGCTCCAGCCGCCCCGGCCTGCAGGTGCGCGGAGGGGCGGAGACTGTGGGTGGCCACCCTCGTTCTCAGGCGCTCTCCTGTCTGTCCCCTGTAGGCGTCGTGGTCCCCGCTCGCCGCCGCCATGGGGTCCGAGGACCACGGGGCGCAGAACCCCAGCTGTAAGATCATGACTTTCCGCCCCACCATGGAGGAGTTCAAAGACTTCAACAAATACGTGGCTTACATCGAGTCGCAGGGCGCCCACCGGGCGGGCCTGGCCAAGGTGGGTGCCCCTCCGTTTTCGGGGTGTCTTTGTTACCTGCTCAGCTCAGGAGGTTCCTTGGATGCTGGGGGCATTTCGTATCATGGAGGGGACAGATGTGGGGGTGCAGGGAGGGGCACGGGTAAGCGTCACGCGTGAGCGAGCCAGGAGGCAGGAGAATGGTGAGCAGTCGTGTGGGTGCACCCCTCCTCCCGCCACGCAGTGACCCCAGCAGGTGCAAGGAGCATCTGCCCAGCTCCGGGCACCTCCATCTGTTTCCCATGGGCCCTCCTGTCCCTGTGTGAGCCTTGGGGATCCCTCAGCTGTCCCCCTCAGCTGCTCCCCTCCACCTAGGCCGGTGTGTGTGTGTGTCCATGGCTGGAGTGGGAGGGCTTTCCTGGTGACATCTGTATTTGATTACTCACCCCCAAAGACCTTCAGGGCCTGATGGAGCTACAGTGGGGGATGGGCTACGGGCATCCATGCCAGGGTGCTGGGCAGTGGTCAGCTGTCCTGGTCAGCTCCCCGCCCGTGTGCTCTGGGGGGTCCCCAAGGGGCTGGGCTGGGAGCAGCCGCAGAGGGGCTTGGTGTGGGCTCGGGCTTGGGGGCTTCCGCTGCCGGCGGAGTCCCTGCAGCCGGAACAGGGGGTGGAGCTCCATCCCACCTGGTGGCGGGCTTGTCGACTTGAAGGCCAGCCCGTTTCTGCCTGCTGGCTTCGGTCAGGGGCTCGGCGGGAAGGGCCAGCTGCGGGCCCCGGGTGTGCATCGGGGATGTCCGGGTCTCTTCTTTTTAGGTGTATTTATTTTTATTGGAAAGGCAAATTTACAGAGAGACAGAGAGGAAGATTTTTCCCTCTGCTGGTTTTCTCCTCAAGCAGCTGCAATGGCCAGAGCTGAGCCAATCTAAAGCCAGGAGCCGGGAGCTTCTTCCAGGTCTCCCATGTGGGTGCAGGGTCCCAAGGCTTTGGGCCGTCCTCCACTGCTTTCCCAGGCCACAGGCAGGGAGCTGGATGGGAAATGGAGCAGATGGGACACAAACCAGTGCCCATATGGACGCTGGCACTTCAAGGTGGAGATTAGCCAGTTGAGCCATCACGCTGCCCCCTGCCCCTCCCCACGCCTCAGGTCTCATTCTGGAGGGGTTTTTGGTAGTCCGGGCCAGGGGCCTCCTCTCGGATCCCAGTGGGGGGAGATGAGGCTGCCCCCTGCCCTAAGGGCTTCCCCACAGGCCTCGGCTCACACCTTCTTCCTGCTGGGCCTGTTGCCTCGCACAGGTCGCACAGGTCGAGCGAGGACAACGCATCCCACGCATGGCCCCAGATGGCACGCTCGGAGGGGCGGGCACGCCTGGCGTCTCCAGCTGTGCCCCCTGTAGTCGCCCGCACAGGACTGCCGTGGGCCTGCCTGGTCCGGTCAGCCGAGGCCTCTGGGGGGTGTGGAGCTGGTCCGTGTTTGTGGAAATGTCTAGAAGCAGGAGATCCAGGCGCTGGGCACATGAGGGCCGTGGTGGCAGCAGTCAGCCCTTGGCTATGAGGCCTATGCCAGCTACGGGCACCCAGACAGATGCCCGCTGCGTGGGAGGACACAGCAGCAGCTGGAAGGAGCCGCTTCAGCCCTCAGTACTGGGGGAACCAGGGTTGTTCTGGGGGGTGGTCCTGCTTGCCCCCACTCCGTGCCAGGGGCTCCCCCTGTGCCGACAGCCACAGATGTCCCCAGACACAGCCTAGTGACCCCAGCTGAGAGCTGCTCACACAGGGCATTGGTTCTGGTCAGTGGCCGGTGGACAGGCCAAGCCGACTGTGGACGTGACTGGTGGCTGGACCAGGGCTGTGTGCAGCGCCCCGTGCAGCCACTGGAGGGCACGGACGCACACAGCGTCTGCTGTGGGAAGCAGGTGCCTGGGCCAAGGCCAGCGTGCTGGGGTGGACCTGGGCTCCTTGCTCCGGCAGACCCTGGGGACAGCAGGGCTGCTGGCTCACGGACTCACGTGGGAGACCCCCGAAGGAGCTCTCGGCTGCTGGCGTCCGTCGGGCCCAGCCCAGGCTGCTTGTAGGTGGGTGGGAGTGAGGCGGCGGGTGGGCCTGGGCAGTGTGTCCGGTCAGCCTTGGCCGGGGGCCGCGGGCACCGCCAACTCCCCCGCCTGTGCCCCACAGATCATCCCCCCTAAGGAATGGAAGCCGCGCCAGACGTACGATGACATTGACGACGTGGTGATCCCGGCCCCCATCCAGCAGGTGGTCACGGGCCAGTCGGGGCTCTTCACGCAGTACAACATCCAGAAGAAGGCCATGACCGTGGGCGAGTACCGGCGCCTGGCCAACAGCGAGAAGTACGTGGCCTTGGCCTGCCTGGGGTGCCTCCCTGCGCTGCCCCCGTCTCCTCCCTGCAGCCAGGAGGGGCTGCCCGGGGCCGGGCACGGGTGCCCCGAGCAGAGCCCTGACCCGGCCGCCGGTGTGGCTGTCCCCAGGTACTGCACCCCGCGGCACCAGGACTTCGACGACCTAGAGCGAAAGTACTGGAAGAATCTCACCTTCGTGTCGCCCATCTACGGGGCCGACATCAGCGGCTCGCTGTACGACGAGGTGGGAGCCCAGCGCTTGATGTCTGGGGTGCCGGGGGGCGGTTGTGGGGAGGGTAGGCCCGGGGGTGGCAGTCGTGCGGAGGGAGGGCAGCGGGAACTGAGTTGGGCTCCAGATCGCCGAGACTTTGAGCAGAGGGAGAAGGCGTGGTGGCATTTGTCCTGACGGGCCGGCTGGTTCGTCGCCCGACCCTTCATCCCCACCCCACGCGTGTGCTGTCCTGCGTCCCCCCGACCCCTGTGGGTGTTTGCCCTGTCCCCACCCTGGGGCACCCTGGCTGTGAGCGCAGCGCCGGCCTTGTCTGGCTGCTCTGATGGGCCTGCTGCCCGACGCAGCTTCCAGCAGGCACTGCCCCCGTACAGGATGCCCCGTGTGGCTTGGAAGGGCTTCCATCAGATGTGTCCCTGTGAGTGCCGGCTCTCAGGCCCCGGCCTGCTGGTTTATAAACCGACCTTGGGAAGTGAGGGCCTGGCCCCTGGGTGGGGGGACGTCTGTCGCCCACGTGCTGCCCACCACAGGTGGCACGGCCGCATGCAGGTGCCCACAGCGGGGGCCCCAAGCGAGCATCCCGTGCAAGGTCCCGTGCTGGCCTCCAGAGCCTCGCCTCGCCGGCCCCGGGGCGCCGGTGCCATGGTGCCATGGTGGCATGGTCGCCTGGTGGCCTGGTGGCCTCGGGCCTGACCGCCCGTCCGCCCGCCACCCCGCAGGACGTGTCGCAGTGGAACATCGGGAACCTACACACCATCCTGGACATGGTGGAGCGCGAGTGCGGCACCATCATCGAGGGCGTCAACACGCCCTACCTCTACTTCGGCATGTGGAAGACCACGTTCGCCTGGCACACGGAGGACATGGACCTGTACAGCATCAACTACCTGCACTTCGGGGAGCCCAAATCCTGGTCAGCGCGCGGGGCGGGGCCGGGGAGGGGCGGGGCCCGAGACGGGGCGGGGCCTGACAGGAGGGGTGGCCTGAGGCCGGGGCGGGGCCTGACAGGAGGGGTGGGGCCCGAGGCTGGGGCGGGGCTGGGCCAAAGGGGGTGTGGCCGGAGGCCGGGGCGGGGCCTGAGGCCGGGGCATGGCCAGACAGGAGGGCGGGGCCGGTCAGGAGGGGCGTGGCCTGAGGCTGGGGCGGGGCTGGACCAAAGGGGGTGTGGCCGGAGGCATGCGGGGCTGGACGCGAGTGGGCGGGGCCTGAGGCCAGAGTGGGCGGGGACGGACTGGAGGGAGCCAGACTTAGACTGGGCGGGGCTGGATGTGAGTGGGCGGGGCTGAATGGTGAGGTGGGTGGGGCCCAGCTGCTTCTCCCAGTAGGTGGGGGAGGGACAGGGATCTTCCAGCAGAACACTTCCGTGTGCCTGGAGCTTGTGGCTGGCACCCCAGGGTCCCCGCGAGCTGGGATGGCGCAGGGCGTCCCAGGGCCTCACAGCTGGTCCTCCTGGAGCTGTGGCTGGCACCCCAGGGTCCCCGCGAGCTGGGATGGGGCAGGGCGTCCCAGGGCCTCACAGCTGGTCCTCCTGACTGTGGCTGCACCCCGGGTCCCCCGGCTGTCCTGGAGCTGTGGCTGGCACCCCAGGGTCCCCGCGAGCTGGGATGGCGCAGGGCGTCCCAGGGCCTCACGGCTGGTCCTCCTGGAGCTGTGGCTGGCACCCCAGGGTCCCCGCGAGCTGGGATGGGGCAGGACACTCTCCAGGCCTCATGGCTGGTCCTTGACAGGGAGCTGTGCTGTGTGTTGTCTTCCAGTGGCCTGTTGGCCTGCATGCATGCTGTGGCTGTCACATACTGGCCATCCCACCCAGCCTGGCGGCAGCACCAGGAACCCCACAACGCTGCTTCCCGCCCCGCTCCGTGTGAGCTGCTGACTCCTGAGCGGCCCCCGCCTCTCCCGCTGTCCTGGCTGGCCGGCCGTACTGTTGGCCCCCTGACTTCTTATGCACTGTGGCCTGGGCTCTGCTGGTCATCTCCCATGGGGTGGCGTTCCAGTTCCAGTGCCACAGTCACACATACGCGTGGGAACGTGTGCACGTGTGTGTGTGTGTGTTGGGGACCCCAGTGTAGACCCCAGTATGGACTGCGGTGTGGACGTGTTACTCTGGCCTTGCAGTGTGGAGGGAGGGGCCAGGCTCCTGTCCTGCCCCCCAAGCGCCACTAGGTGGCGCTCTTGCCCTTCCGCTCGGCCTGGCCATTCCCCAGGTCCTTCCAGCCCGCTGGAGATGTGGCTGTGGGCACCCCGGGCTGGCGAGGGCAGGAGAGCTGTGAGTCGGCCTGCAGGAGCAGGGGGCACCACACGTCCTTGTCCCCCAAAATCGCTGTTTCAAACAAAACAAAACCCGTGAAAAGCCAGGAGGAAGGAAGCCAGCCGCGGCCGGCCCTAGCGGGCAGGCTGGCCTCACGGGCCTTGGGTGAGGAGACTCGTCTAGGGGACACAGGCCTGAGGTGGGCAGTGCTGGGCAAGGCCAGGCCACTGCAGGGGGTTGGGTGGGGGATCTTAGCGAGGACCCAGTGCCACCTGCTCGCTCCGTGGGGTCAGGGTGGGGGTGGGGCCTCCGGCTGGCAGGGCTGCGTGCAGCAGGGTGGCGGCCTCCAAGTGGGGTCAGGTGTCTGATAAGACACGGGGTGTCCCAGCACTCCTCCCCCTGCGCCCCGCACAGGCAGCACCCAGGGAAACATGGCCCGGGGTGAGGGTGGCTGGGAGTGCAGGAAGGGGCCTTCTCCAGGTGAAGCCCCCACAGAGGGCGGGGGCGCAGGGGTCTGGGCTGGGACAGCCGTGTGCGTGAACGCTGGTCTGCACCGCGGCCTTGACCTCTGCCCGCTGTGCACTCCACCGGGAGGGCTGAGCCCCACAGGCTGGTCTGACGCCCCCATACCCGTGTCCACGAAGCCCTGAGCACCCACGGGAGGTCCCTGGACGTGTCAGGCAGGGTCGGAGGCAGCAGTATCCTCCATCTTGGCAGCGTGTGTGTGTGTGTGTGTGTGTACAAATATATGTATCTAAATACAAGATTTATTTATTTGAAAGGCACAAGTGACAGAGAAAGATTTTCCACTTTTGGTTCACTCCCCAAGTGTTCATGAGGGCCTGGGCTAACCAGCCAGAGCCAGGAGCCAGGAGCCTCCTCCAGGTCTCCCACACAGGTGCCCAAGGCTCTGGGCTGTCCTCCACTGCTTTCCCAGGCCACAGGCAGGGAGCTGGATGGGAAGTGGAGCAGTCAGGACACGAACCAGCGCCCCTATGGGATGCTGGCTCTTGGCGGGGGAGGATTAGCCAGTTGAGCCCTCCCCTTCCCCCCGACTTCCTCTTGACGTCAGCTGTGCTTGTGAGTGAGACTGGCAGCTTCTCCTCTGGCTGTCGGGGATACCCTTGTGCACTTAGGCCTCAGCGCCGGGCTCCTGATGTGGGGCAGAAGGAGAAGCTGACCGGCTGTGGAGGGCTGCTTGCACTGCACCTGGATGGAGGGGTGTGATAGGCTGTCCTGGGGTGCAGGGGGCTGCTCCCCGATTGCGTGCAGGCCTGCCGAGGCATCCCCCCTCTGGCCTTGCAGGTGGAGTGGTTGCTTGCCCCGGCTGGCCACGGAGCCAGCTGCCTGAGGGCCTCGGGGCAGCCCACGGGGCAGTGCCTCCCTGCTGGCAGCACCTGGAGGCCCGGGGCACAGCACACAGGACTCCAGAGGAAGTCTGCTTTGGGCCCTGGAGCGTGTGGGAGGTCCTGGGCCGGGGGGGGGGTCCACAGGGACCCCTCCACGCCCCGTGGCCAAGCCCAGCTCCTCAGGCATAGGTCGCTGTGGCGTCAGAGCTGGGCTGCAAGGAGGTGACGTGGGCTGGGAGTGAGAGGGGCCAAGCCTGGCCCCCCCGAGGGTTAGTGGCCCCCGCACGCTGGGCTGTCACTGGGGGCGGCAGGGGGCCGAGCCTTCCTCCTCCCCCTGCTCAGCCCAACCCGTGGCCAGGCACATGCAGGCATGTCATCTCCCTTCCCCGCCCCCGGAGGATGTGGTGGTCCCCCAGAGCCCTTGCTGACCTAGCCAGGCTGGGGGACTGGCCAGGCGCTCCACTGAAGGTCCCCTAGGCTGGGTGGCCACACCGCAAAAGGGAGTGCTCCCCACAGGCCTTGCTCCCACGAGGCGAGGGGGCGCCGTGTCGGGGTCCCCCACCACGTGAAAAAAATTTTTTTTTGTAACAAAATACTTTAATTACCAGAAAAACATGGTAATGAACAGAACAGACTGGTGCCCGCCTCCCACGCTGCACGGATGGGAACATTCCGGCGAGTGTCTGCCAGCGGGGCCGCGGGCTGCTCGGCTCCCCTTCCCTGGGGTGGGGCGGTGGGAGCTTCCTGCCACGCAACCCAGAGCACTGTGGGACCCTAACAGCTGGCAGGGTCCCTGCTCCGGGATCCCAGGGTTGGAATCCCCCGGTGGGACTCTCTCTTTAGGCTCACCTGCCACAGGTAGTTTACCTCCATACAGCGAACCTGAAGCGTCCATGGCAGCTGGGCCAGGTCGGGAGCCCAGGTTCCAGGCCACACAATTCCCATGGGCTGGACTTGAACCATCACCGACTGCCTCCCAGGGGGTGTATGTTAGCAGAGAAGTGGGAGTTAAGAGCTGAGCCGGGATTTGAACCCAGGCACTCAGCCACAGGGTGCGCTGCCTTCATGCCCCCGCCTCGCCCCGGCTTGGCTCGGCTTGGAGTCTAGGAGCCCACGGGAGAGGTCCCTCTGGGTCAGGTGCAGCTATAGGATGGGCCGAGGGCCAGGGTGCCCCCACCACGTGTTCAGCCCCAGCAGGTCCCCTGGTGGGCGAGGTCTGTTGTCGCCGGCAGGCAGGCAGGCGGTGGCTTGTCACGCTGCCCTGCAGTGCCAGTCCTTCAGTGAGCATTCCTTACAAGGACAGAGTGCAGTAAATGGTGCCCGGGTGTCGAGTCCCGCCAGCACCCCCGCGTGGCCGGCCCGGGCTCTGCAGTCCTTGTTCCTCCGTGGCAAGGCAGTGTGGAGCAGCCCACGTGGACTGCCCTTCCAGCTCCTGTGCCATGGCAGTGTCCCTTGGCTACTACTGGACGTGGCCTCTTTGTCGCAGCCGCCACAGCGTGGGCTTGTGGTTGCAGAGCTTGGAAGGCGTGGGACCTGGGCTGACCACCAAGCCTGCCTGCCCAACCCCTGCCTGCAGGTGCCCTTGGGGCGGGGCGGCACCTGGTTGGTGAAAGCTGGCAGGGACTTGAAGGAGTGGGAGAGCAAAGCCCCTTTTGCCCTGGCCTCCCAGCAGCTTCAGTGGGGCTCTTGTGGGGGTGGGAGGTCCGGGTGCCTCCTCCCACGCGTGGCTTGCAGGGTCATTCTTGTGCTGCCGTCAGGAGGAGTGGGGTGCAGGGGGAGGCTAGGAAATGTCCTCTGGTGGGGACCAAGCAGCAAAAAAGCAGGAGCCTGGTGGGGGGCTTCTGGACCTCGAAGGAGATGGGGCAGCCCTGTATGTGAGCCGGGGGCTTTCATTACATCCCCCACGCACAGTACCGGGCCTGGGAGCCCGCAAGGTGGGGTTGGGGGAAGCCCCTGGCAGTGCAGGATGGGGCCAGAGTCCCCACCCGGGGTGCGCTGTCCACGCAGGAGGCGCAGGGTGCCCAGCTCGAGGCAGACAGAGCAAGCGGCGTTCTGGGGAAGTCCGCCTGTGGCCGGGGCTGGGTGTCGCTCTGGGAGGGAGCGTGCAGCCGCTCCTCCCGGGGCGTGCGGGGGAGCCAGGGCTGCTGGCTGGTGGAGCAGATGGGCTTTTGTGCGAAGCAGGAGCTCGCTGGCTGCGGAGCGTGGGAGCACTCATCGCAGGCATCCTCCCTGCATCCGTCTGTTGGCTTGTCCCTTGGTCCCCCCCATGCCATGCAGGCGCTGTGAATCAGGGCTAGGGCCGCCCCAGCCCCGCAG